ATTCTGGGCAATAAAGACAAGGCAGAAGGCATTACAATTCCTGACTTGAAATTATACTACAAGGCTACTGTGATAAAATCAGCATGGTACTGGCAAGAAAATAGACCTGAGGATCAATGGAATAGATTAGAAGACACTGAAGACACTACACTCAGTCACCTTATCTTTGACAAAGGGGCCAAACATACTCACTGGAAGAAACATAGCCTGTTTAACAAATGGTGCTGTAAAAACTGACTCTCTACATGCCGAAAACTCAAACTTGACCCAGGTCTATCACCACGCACTAAACTAAAGTCGAAATGGATTAAAGATCTAAACATTAAACAGAGACACTAAATCTCCTGGAAGAAAAAGTGGGAGGAACTCTTGAAGACATAGAGGTAGGCAACGAGTTCATGAACAGAAATCAAATCACATGGGAAACAGTTGAAAGAACAACTGGGACCTGCTCTTACTGAGAAGTTTTTTCACGTCAAAGGAAATTACCAACAAAGTGAAAAGGCAACCCACAAATTTGGAAAACATTATGACAAATAAGTACTCAGACAAAGGTCTGCTCTCTAGAATCTATAAAGAACTAAAGAAACCACTAGGACCCCAAAATTTAAAGACCCAATCCAGAAGTGTGCACCCCAAATGAACACATGCTTCTAACAGAAAGAAATTAAAGAAGCAAATAAATATATGAAAAAATGCTCCACATCACTAGCCATCCGTGAAATGAAAATTAAAACAACATTGAAATATCATCTCACCCCAGACGGAATGGCTATCATTGAGAAATCACCCAACAACAAATGTTGGAGAGGCTGTAGGGAAAAAAAGAACCCTTCTCCACTGCTGGTGGGAATGTAGACAGGTGCATCCATTAGGAAATCAGTGAGGAGACTCCTTAGAAAAGTTGGACTGGAAATCCTATTTCAATGAGCTATTCCTCTACTGGGAATTTTCCCAGAGGATCTGAAAACATCATTTCATAGTGATATATGTGTGCCTCTGTTTATAGCAGCACAATTTGTGATAGACAAATCTTGGAAACAACCAAGATGCCTATCACCTGAGGAATGGTTGAAAAAGATGTGCTTGGGCCTATCCTCACAAACAACTTTGCAAATGTTAAACTCAAATGTTTCACTCTTCAGAGCACCTCATTTTTCCAGCTATGGCATACCTGTTTATTGTCCTAGTTTTGACATATTTTTGTCATTTGCTTTTGATGCTATGGCAAAATAAACACTAATTTACTTGCTTAAAACAACAAAAACTTGTTACTTTATGGCTCTAGTGTCAGAATTTTTACTGGGTTAAAATTGAGGTGTCAGCAGGATTTAATTTCTTCTGGAGGGGAGGAGAATCTGTTTCTTTCCTTTTTTGGAGCTTCTAGAAGGCACTTGACATCCTAGACCCATCTCGTGAGACTCAGGGCCCCTGTCTCCTTCTTGGAAGTACTTTGTGTACCATTGGGTCAGGAGGGGGAACACAGAATATGTGTCTTACAAAGACTGGGAACTTTTCTTAGCCTCTCTTATTGTCAATGCTCAGAAGAAAGCATGATCCTTATTTGGTGCTCATAAGCTACTTTTGAAAGGTTGAATGAATGAGTGAGTTTATTGACTTCCCTATTCAAACTGACATATTAATAAGATCATGTTGGCATGTACCATACTGAGTATTATGTAAATCCCTTTCCTGGCCTCACATTCTACCTCTCTTCTCTGGGAATCTGTGGGTTTCATCACTGATTAACCTTCATTTTCTGTGTTCCTGGCTCACCTTCTGTCCCTCTCCTATTAACCAAGTGTTTTCAATCCATTTTTTTTAAAAAGATTCCAATTATACTTATTTTATATGTGGATCATGTTTCATGTAAGTTAAAGCCTTTTTCTTCTTTTTCTTGGCAGTATGAACCTGAAGAGTCTTATTAATTATTACATTTGCAAAAACAATAATAGTAATAGTAATTCTCTCTGGTTTGTATCATCTCATTTTAACCTCATAAGAACTGTGTAAGGTTTCCTGTATATATGAATATTTCCCTCATATTGTAAATGTAAATATTGAGGCTCAAGGTTATTAACAGACATTTGTCCTCTAAACATTGTTTGCGAACTATAGAGCCTTGCTGTTTGATTGTAACTCTCATCCTACTCAGCATCATGTTAGCACTTTCCGCAAGTCCTCATCTATCCTTTCTCTCCAGAAATTACTTGTTTCCAGTCATGAAAAAGTGTGAAGTTCTGACTCATTCCACTTTTTGCCTTTATTTTTGGCAGCTTTCTTATACCTATATTTACTCCTGTCTCTTTCCTTTCAGGGTGAGATGAAAAGACATCCTTTTGCCTCTTTGAATGATATCTTCTCTTTACCAAGTTCTATGGTAAAATTTCAAACATATTAAGGGGAAATAGTAAAATTCACATTCATATATCTGCCTTGGTAAACTACTTCAACAGAACAATCAGAAGCGACATTTTCTTTTTTCTAGGAAGAGAAGAGAAGAGAAGAGAGAGA